CCCGGCAGGGCGCCGGGCGCGGGATCGCCCCCGTGCCCCCAGGAGGCCGGAGAGGGGCCGGGCGCGGCCTGGCCGTGGCCGGAGTGGCCCAGCTTTGGGTCGGCGGTCCTGTTTGGCCAGGCGTTCTGGGCGTCCGTTCCGAAGCGGCAAAGGGAGAAAGCGCCGTAGCGCCGTCGGTTTGAGCGCTCTGTGCTGCGGGGTGAAAGTTGCAAAGCGCCTTGATCGCTTTGTGGGATGTCGACCTACTATCAATCTGCAAGGATAGTGAGTGGAAGCTGGGGGCTTTTTCTTCTTCTTTTGCCTCCCCCCCCCCCCCCCCCCACTTCAGATCTTGCTAAGGTGATATCCAAGGGAATCACCCGTTGGGACAGGAAAATCTTCTCTGCGGAGTCGCAACATCCAAGGCTAGGACAGTTTGCAGCTCAGTGTGTCAACACTCTGCGGTCTGTAGGTCACGCTGTGCAGCCACAATATGGATTATTTGGGGACAGGAACACAGCAGTTCCAATTCGGGGTTCAGAGTGTTGAACCCAAGTGGGGGTTTAGCCCCTGATCAAAATGCAGCTGCGTGTGGAAGGTCTACATGAGAGCAGCACCCTTGGGAGCCCATGCTGTCTCTTAGGCCTGTTTTTAAGGATGCTTTGAAGCACTTCCTACTTTAGGAAAACCCACTGCAGAGCAGCAGCAGCCACAGCAGTGCGTAGGGATGGGCCACAACCAGAGCATCTGTACGGAGCATCATTGGAGGGGGACTGAGGGCCGGTCTTACTAGCAGCTTTTGAGTTGGAAGGAGAAAGCAGAAGCTGCAAACCTCTGTTGCAGTGTCATATTTCTGATCTGGAGGGGGCCAGTGCCAGTGGTCCCTTTCTGTCTCCTGATTGCCAGAAATAATAGTAGAGGAAGCCGGGCCCAGCTTGGATGGGCAACTAATTGTGCCCTGCAAGCACTTTCTTGCTCAAAAAGTAGGCAGTGGTTTTAAAGACGCTTTTTAAAAAGTGTCCCCCCTTTATTGCAAGTTGGGTCGCTTGGAAGCGCCCTTCTCCTTAGCCGTAAAGTGCTGGAGGAGAGGACATCCCTCAACCTGTGGAATATTGTTAGAGTCAGAAAAGTTTCTGGCTGGATTGCGTTGAGCACCTCAAACCTGGAAAAGCTGTGACCGAGCAGCTGCAGCGCATGGGGCGAGTTGGGGCTGGACATGGTGCGCAAAGCAAAACAGGAGCTCCATTCTCCACGGCAGATGCAGTTTGATTATGACCTTTGAGAACAAGGTAGCAAAAGAGCAAAGCCAGCATATCGAGGGATAAATGTGAACAAATGGAGCTCTGCGAACTGCATTATGTGCTAAAAATAACCATGCCGCCCTCAGCATCCATACTTAGAAATCAGTCCCAAGGACTGGGGTTTATTCTCCCCACACTTAACCAGCTGCATTCACTAAGCTTGGTTAGTTACGACCTTGATCGTGGTTCAGGAGGGGCAAACTGAGTGCATGTGGTTTGTTGGTGGTTCAGGGCACTGCTCATGTGCAGAAAACGGGTTAATCTGGCAACCGAGTGAAGCGTGGGGGGGAACCTTGCCGGTGAATTTGACAGAGCGTCGTGCGTGTTTCACGCTTTAGCAAACACGGTGGGTTGTGCACCCTGTGAATGCCTAACAGTGTTCCTTGGGGCTCCTTCTGCAGGACCCCAGGCTAGGGGGCCAGCCAGCCAGCCCTCCTGACCTTTTGTGAACATGTTGTATGTGAAGAAATGGCACGGAGGCGCCCTGGCGTTACTTTGCTGCTTGTGGTACTCTCCCCCGGCCCCCTGGTCTGGATCCAGAAGAGGGGGTGAGCTGGACAAAAAATTGTGGCTTCAGTCGGGAAGCCGTTTGTAGGCCAGGTGGGAGAAAAGGAATTCCTCCAAATCAGGGTTCCTCAACCTTGGCAACTTTAAGATGGGTGGACTTCAACTCCCAGAATTCC